ACTGTGCCTTTCAAATAAGTAAATGAGTGAATAAGTAAATAAATAATGAGATTTAAATAAATCTTTAAAAAAAAAAAAAGATGAACTAGCTGGCGCTGCAGCTCATTAGGCTAATCTTCCACCTGCGGCACCAGCACCCCGGGTTCTAGTCCCAGCTGGGGCGCCGGTTCTGTCCCGGTTGCTCCTCTTCCAGTCCAGCTCTCTGCTGTGGCCCAGGAAGCAGTAGAGGATGGCCCAAGTGCTTGGGTCCCTGCACCAGCATGGAAGACCGGGAGGAAGCACCTGGCTCCTGGCTTCGGATCAGCGAGCGCACCGGCTGTAGCAGCCATTTGGGGAATGAACCAATGGCAAAGGAAGACCTTTCTCTCTGTCTCTCTCTAACTCTGCCTGTCAAAAAAAAAAAAAAAAAAAAAATCAACTAAGTAGCCTAGAAAGACCTTACAACAGGCCCTATTGGTATTCAAACCCTTGGCCAAAGTATTGCTCTGCTTCTCAGACGGACAGAATAGAGAAACGATAATGGGAAACATCAAAGGGAAATTCCTATCGAACCAAAGCGATGAACCGAAAGCAGTGCCGCTTCCTCTGGGGGACTGACGGGCTTAATAATATCATCACGGCGTTGGAAGATTCCGGGTGGCGATTTTGTCACATTTCCATTTTATTCTGCAGTTTGGCCAGTGAAGATGGCAGACGGGCCTTAGAGAATGACAGTGGATTTCCATAAACTTAATTATGTGGTGACTCCAATTGCAGCTGCTATTTCAAATGTGGTCTCATTGCTGGAGAAAATAAATATAGACTCTGACACCTGGAAAGCAGTCACCGAGCTGGCGAGCGCTCCTCTAAGACGCAGGAGAGATGAGAAGCCTGCTTCCCTTCACCAGCGTCATCGGTACCCTTCACCATCTTGTCACGGGACTCCTGTGTGTGGTTAAAACATTTATTTATTTGAGTGGCAGACACAGGGAGAGACAGAGAGAGACTTTCTGTCTGCTGGTTCATTCCCTAAGTGCCTTTATTTTTGTTTCTATAATAGAAACCGATCACATTTTCTATTGGTTAAGGAGCCCTGGTATCTCTCTCTCTTTTTTTTTTTTTTTTTTTTTTTTTTGACAGGCAGAGTGGACAGTGAGAGAGAGAGACAGAGAGAAAGGTCTTCCTTTGCCGTTGGTTCACCCTCCAATGGCCGCCGCGGCCAGCCCGCTGCGACCGGCGCACCACGCTGATCCGATGGCAGGAGCCAGGAGCCAGGTGCTTTTCCTGGTCTCCCATGGGGTGCAGGGCCCAAGCACCTGGACCATCCTCCACTGCACTCCCGGGCCACAGCAGAGAGCTGGCCTGGAAGAGGGGCAACCGGGACAGAATCCGGTGCCCCAACCGGGACTAGAACCTGGTGTGCCGGCGCCGCAAGGCGGAGGATTAGCCTAGTGAGCCGTGGCGCCGGCCATGGTATCTCTTTTTTTAAAGTCTATTTATTTATTTGAAAGGGAGAGAGAGAGAGAGAGAGAGAGAGAGAGAGAGAACTTTAATTTGCCCACACCAGCTATACCTGCACCTGCACACACACCTGTACTTGGTCAGGGACCATGACGAGCAGGTTGCAGCAGCAAGGGCTGGAGTAGGAGCCAGGTGTGGCCAGGCAATCTAAGAGGTACCCTTGCTTAGCAGACACACCCGCCTCTGACCCAGTCCCTGGAATGCAAGCTGAAGATGCTGCCTGAACAGCTCTCCAAAGAGGGTGCCTCAGGGCCCCTCTCTAGAGGATGCCATCCCCCGTCCATGTCCCTGATGACCCGGCCATCAGCAAGCAGCCTTTATGGCTGGCACTGCGGCTGACTCACTCAGCGTCCACCCCACCCCTCCTACATGCCGAGGGAAGAAAGCTAAAACCCACCCTTCCCAACTTCCCTTGCTGCTCAGTCCCGGGGTAAATTCTTCCCTTCGTTCCGGCAAGTAAAGATGGCGGCAGGGGTGGCCTAATTCCAGAGCCGAGACTTGGTGAACACCTTGCAGTTAAGGGGTGTGGTCTTGTCTGGATTATCTGAACTCTGAACAGGGCACCTTGTTTACTTGTTAGCTTGCTTGTTATTATCTGCCTCGTCCTATTTGAAGCTCCTTGGTAGCAGACACTTGCTTGTTTTTCTCTTTAGTGCATCCACGGAGCCTCTCACTGAGCCTGGGACACAGTGGGTGCTCGTAATGATTCCTCAGATGGCTGCCGGGACGGATGGAGCTGGGACAACTGTGGCAAGGAAGAGTCGGAGAAAGGGAAGCTTACGGCTCATTTTCCAACCTGGCACCTTTGGAAGCCCCAGCGCCCAGGCCCCACAGCCAGTCTCTGTTCAGGCTTACGCCCTGGGAAACACACTCCGTCTCACCGGCTTTCACTTCGACCCGCAGTCAAGACCTGCCCCTGCAAATTCTCTCACATCCACTGCCGCCCGCCCCTCCGCTCAGATGTTAGCAGGCATCTCAAATGTAACGTGTCCAAAACAGAACTCTTAATTTCAAGTCTCCAAATCTTCTCCCACACGCTTCCCTATTTAAATAAATGACAACTCCATTCCTGCCAAGAACCTCACAGTCATCCCTGGTGCCTCTAACTCACTCACACCTTCCACCCAGCTCTGCGGCAACGTGCTGGACTCTGCATAAGGTACTGAGACCCCCCCCATTCCTGCCCAGCTCCACTCGCCTGGTCTTTTATCTGGATTATTGCAACAGACCTCCATTCCTGAAGCTTCTGGAATCCATGTCACATTTCCCTTGTTGGTCTCTGATCTCAGCTCCAGCTGCAACAGACGGCTGTAAGCTCAGCCCAGCTTGTGCCAATAGCGTCCTGTCTCAAGTGCACACCTTGTGTCTGTTTGCTTTCTCCCTGGATGGCCTCAATACCGTGGTAGGCCTCTTTTCTTTTTTTTTATAAAGTTTTATTTATTATTATGTAAAAGGCAGAGTTAAAGAGAGGCAGAGACAGAGACAGAGCGAGATTTTCCATCTTCTGGTTCACTCCCAACTGGCTGCAACTGCCAATCCTAAGACAGGAGTCAGGAGCTTCCTCCAGGTCTCCCACATGGGTGCAGGGGCCCAGGGACTTGGGTCATCCTCTGCTGCTTTCCCAGGCCACAGCAGAGAGCTGGATCAGAAATGCAGCAGTCAGGACTCGAACCAGTGCCCATATGGGATGCCGGTACTGCAGGCCAGAGCTTTAACCAGCTGAGCCACAGCGCCAGCCCCGAGTGGCGGACCTCTTGATTCTAGCACAGACACAGTCCAGAAATGCAGGCTTAAGCGTCCCAGGAGGAGAAGCTCCAACCGAGACAGGAGCCAGCAGATAAAAATTCATCAGCCTGTCTTCCAGGTGGATAATTCTGAGAGACTTTTTTTCTTGTTAAAGTATGTATGTATTTTTATTTATTTGAAGTGCAGATACACAGAGACAGACAGACGGACAAACAGACAAGCATAGATCTTCTATCTGCTCGTTTATGCCCCAAATACCTGCAACAAGGAGGGCTGGGCCAGGCTGAAGCCAGGAGCTCCATCTGAATCTTCCACACGGGAGGCGGGGCCCCACGTACTTGAGTCACCACTTGCTGGGGTGTGCCTAAACGGGAAGAGGGGTGGGAAGTGGAGCCAGCACTCTAACCCTGGCACTCCGAGATGGGATGCTTGGCATCTCAACCACTGAACTGAGTGCCTGCCCCTTGACGATTTTTTAATATGTTTGTTATTTATTTTTATTTTTTTAGATTTATTTTATTTATTTGAAAGACAGAGTTACAGAGAAAGGTAGAGACAGAGAGAGGTCTTCCATCCGATGGTTCACTCTCCAGATGGCTGCAATGGCTGGAGCTGCGCAGATCCGAAGCCAGGAGCCAGGAGCTTCTTTCAGGTCTCCCATGTGGGTGCAGGGGCCCAAGGACTTGGGCCATCTTCCACTGCCTTCCCAGGCCATAGCAGAGAGCTGGATCTGAAGAGGAGCAGCTGGGACTAGAACCAGCGCCCATATGGGATGCCAGCGCTTCAGGCCAGGGTTTTAACCTGCTGCACCACAGCGCCGGCCCTGTAAGATTGTAGGAGACAATCTTAAACTTCTGAGGAGGGCCTGGATGAACTGAGACCTGCTGCCTACAGCAACCACTCAGTAAAGCACTCTCCTCCCAGCTTCACCCTCTTCCTTGACCCACCCTCCCTGATCTTTCTCCTGCTCCTGAAACTCACACCCACTAGTTTACTCCCTAGCGGCTTTGTTTTGGGCTCCTTGTGTTGGTGGGACGGAATGGCTCCGCGGGAGGGACAACCCGTTCTGATGAGCACAAGCACCAGGTGCCCCACAGTGGGGGCAAGGGAGATCCGTGCAGAGCTCAGGGGAGCTGCGGCGCTGTCGCTGGGGCTTCCGTGCCAGTGAACGGGCAGCTGTGACAGCTGAAAGTACCCAGAGCCTAAGTGTGGCCACCATGAGGGCCAGCCCCGGGGGCTGGCAGCAGGACGTCAGCTGAGGACACACACAAAGCTGCAGAGTCCCTGGGAAACCTCCTCCGTGACCTCAGAGCATTTAGAAAAAAAAAAATCTCTGTACACCCAGTCTAGGCTGATCCCGGGCAGCTGGGAGTTTGTCCGCTTCTGGTCCCTGAGACCCTGGCCATGGACAGCACGAAGTGACCTGAGTCATCTCTGAGTGCCCTGGCTTCTAGGGGGGCACTGGCAGTGTGGGGTGGAAGCCCTCGTGCACAGAGATGGAGCCCAGGATGGTCTCCGGGGTGCGTGAGGCAGGCACGCTGCAGTGTGAGCTCTGAGGATGGTGTCTCCGGCCCCCGCCTGGAGGCTCAGCGGCGCGCATACCTGGGGTTAGCAGCTGAGGCAGGCCGGTCCTCTCCTCCAAAGGGAGAAAGCCCATTTGCTCACCCTTTTGCCTTTGCAGACCGAGAGAGCCCTCTATCCTCAAGGAAGGCGAGCAGCAGGCCCCGCGGGCAGCAGCCAGCCCCGGGCGCCCGCGGGAAGGAAGTCCCCTCCCGGCCCAGCCCCTCCGCTCTGCAGGCAGTCTGAAGTGGGAGAGCCGCAGCGCGGGACCGAAGAGGTTAATGTGCATCTGCCTCCGAATGTTAATGTGTCTAGGTGATGTCAGTGGGAGCCGGGAAGGAGGGAGTGGGGCGAGCAGTTGGGCTTGGAGGCGGCAGAGGCTGCCAGGCTGAGGAGGAAGACCCCTTCTGGACTGCGGGGCTCGCGCTCCGGGACAAGGCTGCCGCAGCCTGCGTGGGCGGACGGGCGCGCAACTCCGGGGAGCAGGGCACCGGCTCCGGCTCCGGCTCCGGCACCGGCTGGATGGACCTGCAAGCCTTACTGCTCCCCACTGGCCCCAATGCCAGCAACACCTCCGAGGGCCCGGATAACCTCACCTTGGCCGGTGCGTGCAGGGGGAGGGGAGGCGTGCCTCCGCTGGGCAGGGGCTGGGAAACTTTATTCTAGTTCTTGGGGACCCGATCTGCAGTCTGCTCTGCCGGGAGTGGAGGAGGAGGAGGGGCAGGGGCAGGGGCAGAAGGGGCGGGGGCAGAGTCCCGGCAGGGGCGAGGGACACGGGCAGGGGAGATTCTCCTGCGGGTTCCAAATACGCCTGTCGCCTGTCGGAAGATATTCCAGGCTGGAGAGGGAGCAGGGGAGGCCAAGGGTTATGCGGGAGACCGCCGGAGGCTTCCTCACTGCTGGCCCGGGGTCCCGGGGTCTCCCCCACAGCCCTGGGGGTCTGAGACACCCTCACTGCCCCTGGGAGAGGCAGCAGGAAGCGGAGGCTCCAGGACCCAGAGGGGATTAACTTTTCTGGTGAATGACGCTTCCTGACGCATCCAGAGCTGCCTGAGATGCCCGGGGATCCCAGCTTTGAAGGCACAGGGAAGGCAGCAGGAGAGGAGAGGTTTGTGGGGAGGGATTTGCAGGCTGCAGGACCCGGGCTCGGGAGACTCCCACCGAGGGAACCCCTGGCAGGAAGCCTGGAGCCGGAGGGCGGAGGCCTCGGCAAGACAATCCCGGCAGAGGTGCCCCGAGTCGGTGCACAGCTTCTGTCTCTGAAGTGAACCGATGGGGCTGGCAGTAAGGGAGGAACACACACTGACAGGCACACGAATGCACGCACAGTCGCACGCACACACGCACAAAAATACACTCACGTAGCATACGAGTAGTCATACAGTCACGCACACGCGTGCACATGCACATATATTTTCCGTCCTCCTGGCTCCTGAAGAGGATTCCCGGGGAAGCCCAGGTGCCCGGAGCCATTGTCTGCAGGGGCCGTGGCGCCTGCCCCATGCCATCAGCGAAGATGCAGGAGGCAAACGATGGGGTCCGTCACCTAATGGGTGGCTCAGGACACTCTGACGGGACTCACTAGAGGACCGTGGAGGCGGCCGAGGGGACGGGCGGAGCGACAGTGTGCCTGTGTTGTAGGGAGGGGAATGGCGGAACAGTCTGGAGGCTGGGCAGGGGCAGGGCACGGGTGACCTGGCGCTTCTGTCCCCAGGGTCGCCCCGGCGCCCAGGGAGCGTCTCCTACGTCAACATCATCATGCCTTCCGTGTTCGGCACCATCTGCCTGCTGGGCATCGTGGGGAACTCCACGGTCATCTTCGCGGTGGTGAAGAAGTCCAAGCTGCACTGGTGCAGCAACGTCCCCGACATCTTCATCATCAACCTGTCCGTGGTGGACCTCCTCTTCCTCCTGGGCATGCCCTTCATGATCCACCAGCTCATGGGCAACGGCATCTGGCACTTTGGGGAGACCATGTGCACCCTCATCACAGCCATGGACGCCAACAGTCAGTTCACCAGCACCTACATCCTGACCGCCATGGCCATCGACCGCTACCTTGCCACGGTCCACCCCATCTCCTCCACCAAGTTCCGCAAGCCCTCCGTGGCCACCCTGGTCATCGGCCTCCTGTGGGCCCTGTCCTTTGTCAGCATCACCCCCGTGTGGCTCTACGCCAGGCTCATCCCCTTCCCGGGGGGCGCCGTGGGCTGTGGCATCCGCCTGCCCAACCCAGACACAGACCTGTACTGGTTCACCCTGTACCAGTTCTTCTTGGCCTTCGCCCTGCCCTTTGTGGTCATCACGGCCGCGTACGTGAGGATCCTGCAGCGTATGACGTCCTCGGTGGCCCCCGCTTCCCAACGCAGCATTCGGCTGCGGACAAAGAGGGTGACGCGCACGGCCATCGCCATCTGCCTGGTCTTCTTCGTGTGCTGGGCGCCCTACTACGTGCTGCAGCTGACCCAGCTGTCCATCAGCCGCCCGACCCTCACCTTTGTCTACCTGTACAACGCTGCCATCAGCTTGGGCTATGCCAACAGCTGCCTCAACCCCTTTGTGTACATCGTGCTCTGCGAGACGTTCCGTAAGCGCTTGGTGCTGTCGGTGAAGCCGGCGGCCCAAGGGCAGCTCCGCGCCGTCAGCAACACTCAGACAGCCGAGGAGAGGACAGACAGCAAAAGCACCTGACACTTGCCCTGCTGCCTGGACGTCTCCGAGTTGGGACAGCGACAGCCCACCACCCTGGGGGAGACGCTCACAACACCCAAGACCGCCCTTGGGGGAGTGCAGGGAGGCTGGGGCTGTGGGGGTCATTGCAACTAATACGTCCCATGCAAATTGCTGGGGAGGCTTGGAGCCAGGTTGGGGTGGGCGGCTCCAGACAACCTAAATCATTCACAGGGAACAGAATGGGACTTTTGGGTGGAACAGAAGCTGAGCAAGAGTATCAGTTTTAACATGCGGTTGAGCCCTACATCTGTTAGCTCCCAAATGTCTTTTTCCCAAAGGGAGGGGTGGAAGGCTCCTGGCTGGGTTGCTGTAAAGTCAGGCAGCCGGGGCCACATTCCCGGGACCCCAGGGAGACGAGAAAGCTGTCCGTGTCCCAAGGTTCTCCCATCTCTCATTGGTCTGCTGGGAGGCAGCCCTTCTCCCAAGCTGGTGGATGATGAAACACGAAGCTTGGCATCTCCGGTTCAGCATCCTGTGTCGAGTTCCTTCATCTTGGGGGGAGGGGACGCAAGTTTATTTTGGGGGTGGGGCTCTGAGCCCCCAGGAGGAAGAACCCAGTTTGCTGGGAGATGCGCTCATTGAAAATGACAAGGTGACCGAGCTGGGGTGGGTGTGGGTGGGGGGAACCCTGAAACTAATAAAAATGGGGGAGGGGGCTTCTGCAGCTGTGGGGCCATCGTGTTCACGCGTCTGTCGCTGACCCCGAGCGAGTGCCTGTGTGCTCTGCGTGTGGTCTTCCCAGTGCCGGGTCTGTTGGCATCATCTCTGTGCTGTAGCCGTTCCTCTCCAAAACAAAAGCGAATAAAGGAACATCTCCACCCACATCTCTCTGGACGCTCCCGTGTCATTGCTTGAGCTTGGGGGTGGGTGGCTGTGGGTAGCAGGCAAGGGGAGGAGGAGTTACTTGGCTGTGGGGTTTAGGCTTCGGTTCAGGCTGCATTTTAGGAAGCTGGAAGGAGGGAATCTGGTGTTTTAAACCCACGAGGAGGTTTCAGTGACACAAACGGAATTACTGAGAATTCATTAGATTGCAGTTCTGCTGCGGCTTGTTCCCCCCGCCTCAGCTTCCTGTCTTTGCACAGAAGCCCCTGGACTCCGCAGTCACCTGGGCTGGCCCCTCGGGCCCCAGGTCCCACCCCCGACCTTCCTCGTTGAGTCACCGACTGCACGCTGGCTCCTGGGGCAGCCTGAGCTCAGCCCCGCTTTCTGCAGCTGCGATCCGGCGTGGGCATCAGCAGCAGATGAGAGCCGGGGCCGCTGGGAGGCAGCACGGCTGCCGCGTCTCAGGCTGCGCCTCCGCGAGGGGGCCGGGAGCCGGGAGCCCTCGGTGCACCGCTCGCTCGCTCCGTAGGCATCCGTGCGATAGTGCAGCAGGCTGGAAGCTGGGGCTTGGCCTGAGCACAGCCGACCCCTCCTCTTGCTGGTGGCTTTTCCCTGCAGAATCGCAGCAGGCAGGGCCGGTTGAGACAACTGGGCTGTTTCCTGGTCCTGATCTCCGTGGAGGCAGGATCTCCCAGCCTGCCCTCCAGCCTTCCTCTCTCACTGGCTGCAGGGTCTCCCCCTGCCCTGCAACTTCAACCCCTAACTGGGACTGTGATCCAGATGGGGGGCTTCCCTGAGGGTCCACCCCCACTCCCCTGCTTGGTCTGTCTCACCTTCTCACCTCCCAGCCCTCCCCCCAAGGAACCTGGCTCTCCCTGGAATGCAAGTGACCAGGTCGAGCTCCCGTGGGCAGGGGCACAGGCCCGTGGAGGCCCCAGGAGCTCCCGGCGAAGGGAGCACCCCTCCCTCTCCGGCTCTCAACTGTGATGCAGGCAAAGCTAGGGGAGGGAAAGAGGGTGGGTGTGATAAAATAGAAGCTGGGGATCCTGGGGCAGAGAGGCTGAAGGAGGGGAGGAGCTTGTACCAGCAGCAGGTGGCTTCTCTCCCCAAGACTGGTCCTGAACACACCTGAGAAGAACAAGCAGGTGCAGGGGTGAGGGGTGTGTGACTGGCGACACTCCTGGGTCCGAAGGGGGCACGGCGTGGAGGGGTCTGGGGAATGAGTAGCACTTCCCTGCCCTCCTCTTTCAGGCCAAGGCTGTGGCCAGCACTGTGGGGAGCTGTGGGTGCCCAGAGAGGAAAGGTGTGAAGGTCACACCCTTCCTGGGTCTGAACTGGTCTCCCCCAGGGGAGCCCCGTAGAATCAGCTGCCAAACCCAGCGCGTGCCTCCTCCTCTTTGGCTTCTGGAACCTCTCTCCTCTCCAGCCCCGAGGATCAGGATCGCGCTCCTCGAATCCCCCTTGGAAAGGGAATTCCACAGCTGGGGTGATGACCTCACGGGTTAGGCAAACCGAACTCGAGAGGCCATCACCCCAGACCAGCCAGGCTGGCCTGTCCCCAACTCCTGGTGACAGTTTTATCCTTAAAAGTTGTAATTTTTCGGGGCCAGAGCTGTGGCATAGCTAGTAAAGCCATTGCCAGCAATGCCAGTATCCCATACGAGTCCTGGCTGCTCCACTTCTGATCCAGCTCTCTGCTGTGGCCTGGGAAAGCAGTAGAAGATGGCCCAAGTCCTTGGGCCCCTGCACCCACGTGGGAGACCTAGGAGGAGCTCCTGGCTCCTGGCTTCAGATTGGCTCAGCACCAGCCTTTGTGGTCATTTGGGGAGTGAACTAGCAGATGGAAGATCTCCTTCTCCCTCCCCCTCCCCCTCTCCCTCTTCCTCTCTCTCCCCCAACCTCTCTCTGCCTCTCTGTAACTCTGCCTTTCAAATAAATAAAAAAAAATTTTTAAGTTATAATTTTTCCAAGAGGGGGACACATCCTTTTATCCTTTAGTTGAATGACAAAGCCAAGTGGGGCAAAGATAATTTCTGAATTCACAAAAAAACAGAAGAAAAAGCAAAAATAAGCAAAAGGGATACATGAAGGTACAGGCCAGAAGATGGGTATAGGGAGTTACCGAGCACAGAGCACTAGCAGCAAAGCAAACGCCCGGCACCTGTAGAGGATGTTGTCTAAGGGGCCCCGGAGACAAGCCCCTCGAGCTGGCGTCCGGTCCACAGTCGTGCAGTAAAGGACTTCTCACTCCGCAGCGCTGGCCGAGTGGAGGCACAGCGCGTGAGTCTCAGTCGGCAGCCTGCAGGCCCTGTGCTTACCATCCCAGAGGGCCTAGTATCTCAGGGCCAGATGCCAGCCTTGCAGAGAAAGCTCCCAGACCCATGCTATCTCGTTTGAACATTGGCATAAAGATGCCACTGTGGCTTATCTGTCAGCCGGTGTGAGGCGGCTGCCAGCCAGCCACGGGGCTCAGTTCCAGCTTGTGCTACAAGAAAAAGCTCAGGGCCGGCTGTGGTGCAGCAGGTTAAGCTGCCGTCTTCAAGACTGGCATCCCATATCAGCACTGGTTCAAGTCCCAGCTGCTCCACTTTCCATCCAGCTCCCTGCCAATGCGCCTGGGAAAGCAGTGGAGGATGGCCTAAGTGCTTGGGTCCCAGCCACCCACGTGGGAGACCTGGATGGAGTTCCAGGTTCCTGGCTTTGATCTGACCCAGCCCTCGCCGTTGCAGACATTTAGGGAATGAACCAGAGGATAGAAGACCTTTCTCTCTCTCTCTCTCTCTCTCTCTCTCTCTCTCTCTTTCTGTAACTCTGCCTTTCAAATAAATAAATAGATAGGTAAACATTTTTAAAAAGGAAAAAGAGGGGCTGTCACTGTGGCTTAGCAGGTTAAAGCACCAGCCTGCAGTGCTGGCATCCCATACGGGCACTGGTTGGATTCCTGGCTGCTTCACTTCCAATCCAGCTCCCTGCTAATGCACCTGGGAAAGCAGTAGAAGATGGCCCAAGTGCTTGGGCCCCTGCACCCATGTGGGAGCCTAGGATGAAGCTCCTGGCTCCTGGCTTTGGCCTGGCCCCGCCCTGGCCGTTACAGTCATTTGGGGAGTGAACCAGCAGATGGAAGATCTCACTCTCTCTCTCTCTCTGTCTCTCCCTCTCTCTCTCTGCAACTCTGCCTTTCAAATAAATAAAATAAATCTTCAAAAAAATTATTTATTTGAGTGGCAGAATTACGGAGAGAGAGGGAAAGACAGAGAGAGAGAGAGAGAGAAATCTTCCATCTGCTGGTTCACTCCCCAAATGACTGTAATGGCCAGGGCGGGGCCAGGCCAAAGCCAGGAGTCAGAAGCTACTTCTGGGTCTCTGACATGGGTGCAGGGGCCCAAGGTCTTGGACCATCTTCTGCTGCTTTCCCAGGTGCATTAACAGGGAGCTGGACTGGAAGTGGAGCAGCTGGGACTCGAACCTGCTCCCACATGGGATGCAAGCACTGCAGGTGGCAGCTTTATAGGCTGCACCACAATGCCAGCCCCAATATTTTCAAAATACATATTTCCCCTGAATTTTCTGCATGTTCCTCACCTTTCAGCTACTATGAAGAATGCTGTCACGAACATGGGCGGACAAATATCTGTAAGTCTCTGTTTTCCATTCTTCTGTGTACAAACACAGGAGCAGAGTTGCTGGATCATGTGATAATTCTATGTTTAAATTTTTTAAATGTAAAGGTAGAGGGCTTTTCTTTTCTCTCTTTTTTTTTTTCAGAGACAAATCTTCCATCTGCTGACTCACTCCCCAAATGGTCACAACAGTCAGGACTGGGCCAGGCCAAATCAAAAGCCTGGAACTGCATCCAGGTCTCCCCCATGTGTCGCAGGGGCAAAACCACTTGAGGCATCTTCTGCTGCTTTCCCAGGCGCTTTAGCAGGGAGCTGGGTTGGAAGTGGAGCAGTAGAGACTCAAGGGGACTTAACCCACCGCACCCCAACGCTGGCACCCCTCCTTCCTTAATAAAAGCCATTGTAAAGGGTCTGAAGTGTTTCCACTCTGGTTTTGATTTGCATTTCCCTAAGGACTAGTGATGTTGAGTGTTCTGTCTTTAAAAAAAATAAATTATATATTTACTTGAAAAGCAGAGAGAAAGAATCAGACGGGGGGGGGGGGCGGTCTTTCATCCACTGCTTTAGTTCCCAAATGCATGCAACACCCGGGGCTGGGCCAGGCCAAAACCACGAGCCAGGAGCACCATCTGAAGCTCCCACATGGGTGGCAGGGACTTAAGCCATCAGCTGCTGTCTCCCAAGCTGTGCACTAGCAGGAAGCGGGGCCGGGAAGTGGAGCCAGGACTGTGCCCTGGCGCTCTGATACGGGATGTGGGTGTCCCTAGTGGCATCTTAATGCTGCACCAACACCCACTCCAGGCCGCCTAACTTTGAACTTTTGGCCTCCAAAACTGTGAGCTCAATAAACTTCTTTTCTTTATAAAGTACCCAGCTGAGACCAGACCCCTGTCGCGCACAGGCAGGCCCCCGCCTCTCGCCGTCGCCCTCGGCCCACGGTGTCCTCGCCAGTCCTTTACCGGAAGGAGCTCACTGACTGGAGGGAGCGGCCCCGCTGGCCCTGCAGGGTTCTGATCCCTGCACTCAAGGCGCCATAGCTCCCCAAGGCATAACCCTTGCTGGCCGGTCCTGTCCAGAGGGGTTTGTGGGCATTCCAGGCAGGGGCAGAAGGTGACTGCCGCTCACATGCAACCCCCAGACTACCCCGAGCCACCCGGCCACCACACGTTCCCTACGTGCACAGCATCGCCGACCAGGCAAAGGAAGGCCACGCGCGCCGCGGACCAGCCAGGAACTGTGCACGAGCTGACCACGCGCCCCTCAGCCCCGACCTCGTCTCTGAGAATAAGAACCTTCTCCCCTACCCCTTGGGAGGCCCAGGAATTGCTGTGCCATACTCGCCTCCCGCCTCCCACCACCCCGCGTCTGTCGTTGGCTTTCTGTGTGTCGTGTGAGCAGACCCAGGTTTGGGGTCTGTAGCAGCTCCTCCAGCCAGTGCGGGAGGATGTTTGGCAACACAAACTCATGGGTTTTGTTCTAACAAAGATGGAAGATGGATTGA